AACGCGAAAGAAAGAGCGGCTTGAAAGCCACAGCAGTACCCCAGCAAGCAAGCGCTTCAGTCGGCTCCAGTGTGCGGCTTACTGTGGACACCAGCGTCCTTCCCTAATTAGAAACGTTTAGGGAAACCTATTGTCAGAGCACTGGTTTCGCATGAATTGGTCGTAGATTGACCGTAAACATTTAACTCGATTACATACTTGCCACAGTTGGAAATTTATTTTCTTAACAAGGGCTTAAAAGACAAAATTAAGGCCCTCTAAAAGTTATTTACATATTTCAGAATTAAAAAAAAAAAAAAGAAAAAAGAAACACTCATCTGCAACTGGTTCCAACAATGTACCAGCTTCCCATGGTTTCAAGAGATTTCAAGCGTCTTTAAATACAAATACGTATGAGTAACATATTGTTTTCCAAAGCGCATACTTCTTAACCCAATTAACAAGTTTCCCTAGTGGTGCAAATTGATGCTGTTACTCACTGATTAAGGACCCAGCACTTCTGTTTACTTGCTAGTTCCTAAAAATAAAACAAGTAACAGAAGTGCAATCACAAAAGTTATCTCACACACACGCTCCATACGCTCTTAGGCACATGGAGAAGCAGCACACTGCGATATGAAAACACCAACCACTAAACAATATTTTGGGCTACGGACAAGCAAAATACATCCGTCAGGCGTGGTACCACAGGGTTTAACAAAATAAGTCATCAGAAACCACCGCGATCCCAATTGTTTCGGTTCCACGGCAAGCCCCTGGCAAAACTTGGCTAAGCTGCTCCCGGTTAACAGGGCGTACTGGGAGCACAGCCTGGAGCAAGCAGCCAAGGCTGAATGACAAGTCTGTAGCAATCAGGACCCAGCACTGAAGTGAAACAGCAGAAAATGCATCGGGGCACAAGTGGTTGGCAATAAGGTAGCGGTGATAATCCCAAATCCTTCTGCCAAAGGACTGAAGACAAAATAAAAATACTTGCTTGCTCCCATACCTCAGAACTGCAAATGGCTGCAACAAGTTTTAGGACTGAACGTCGCCTTTGGGCACAGCTCTAAGCGGTATCTGTCTGTGCCGCAGGCAGCGCGAGGGGAAGCAAGTTTTATTCCTCCTCTTCTCACTCCTCCTGAGAGGGAGGAAAGGGACCAAACAAGCGCGTGCAGAGGAACGGCAAGGAGCAGGACTCCTGCCTCCCTCCCAGGCCAGCTCATGGTTGGCACCAGCCAAACGCAGGGCTGCAACGTCTTAAAATGAACGTCAGAAAGCCACAAAGACACGACGCAAGCCAGATAAGCCATGGTTAAGCCTAAAATTAGAGCGGACCGCAGAAAACTACAATCTAAGCATATTTTACTTGGTACAGATTTGAATATTGTTAGAGCTACCACTGCCGCTGTGTCACCCTACTCGCAGGTCAGATCCAGCTGATTTACAAAACCTCAGTGCCTCTTACTGTGCATACAGCGTGCCGAACTCTGATAACAAGCGCTCACGTCACCCAGGGCTTGCACAGGGGACCTGAATGCTGCTGACCAGGTAGGCGAGAACACGGATAACAATGGCAAACCTCTGCTGGCTGGTTCTCCACGCAGGTGAAAATGCTTTTATTCCATGATTTATAATTTCAGTGACTAACTGATTCAAAAGTAAGGGAGTTTGACTGCTTTCTTTGTGGAAATATGAGTAGACTTCCCTTACTGCAAAAAAGCCCCGCTGCAAGCTGCCAGGGACTTCAGCTAGCACCTTAGCTACCCCCAGATCCCACCGCACTGTGGCATTTTCTAGGAAGGAAGCAGCGCAAGCTGCAACAGACTGACTGCACTAACTTGGGCTGGTTTTGACGTACATTTGGAGGCAAGTGAAAATTAAAGCAGAAATCAGCTAGTCCTAACAGAGCTCTGCAATTCCAGGCAGAATTTTACAAGATGTGGCAATACTGAAGTTTTGTTTCAGAGGCAGCATATTAAAAAACTACATGGAGACAGTTGTCTGTAGAACAGGGGCATTTGACTCAGTTTTAAACCAAATGTACTTCAGGATTTTTTTTTAACTGTATATAAAGAAAAGAAAGTGAGAAAGAGAAAAGAGTTCTGCTGGAAGAATTTAATGGCTGCCACCTAGGCAGTATTTTACCTGCAGCATAAGTGCCATAGCTGCTTATGCCCAGTACAAGGACTGAACACTCCCAAACTGAACGGAAAGAGCAATTAAGTCCCTTCTCTAGGGATTACATGATCTTCTTAGAAACAACAGAAGTTACTGTCCAAAACAGAAGACTCACCATCTGATCTGCTGAACGCAGAGGAGACCTGGCAGGAGCTGGAGCTTTGTCTATGAAAGACAGCCCGTGAAAGCAGCAGTGAAGCGTGTGACCCTGGGAGGAGGCAAGACAAAGCTGCTCAGACAGAAAAAGTCAGTGCAGAGGTAGACTAGGAAGCTCTGAGCAAGGGAACAATCTGTTATCCGTGTCTTTTATTCAGAAAGGAATAGGACTATTTCTGTTTCCCAACTCCTTTTCTGAAAGGAAATAGGGCTCATTCGCGCCACTCATATCTCGTTTGGAGCCTTTCAGGGCTCTCTTTGTTAAAATATTGGCTGGTCAGCTGGACCAAATGCACAACAGTGTTTCCTCTAAAATCTTAAGACATTGGTTAGTGCAGGGAGATGCAGCTGAGAATGTGAGATAGGGAACATAAAAATAGTTATTCATTTAGATGTAGAATGACAATATGTATAAACAGCTGTCTGCCAAGCCCCTATCTTCTGTTCTGCTTCTTCCCAACTCTCTTTTCTTTTCTTTTCCCCCACTTTCTTCTCAGGCTACAGAAGAGACCTCTTTCTTCACCTTGCTTTATTGTCATCTTAAGTACCTCTGGCATTTATGTGACCAGCACCATACATCAGACAGACACCCTGTTTTTAACGTCTGCAAAAAATTGTGGTCTGTGAGGCTTGCTTGTAGGCACAGCTTAAAGAGAGGCGAGGAAGGGATCTCTGTAGTTGCCTTAGAAAGTGGATTGCTTTTGGTTTTTTTAGTATCAGAGACTGTGGAGTTCAAAGTTGCTCTCTGAAGTCAGACGGGTGCTGTATTGAGGCCTAAAGTTAGTTTTATTTGTTATTTGGGATGTAAAGCTGCTTCCCAAGCATTCTTTTGTCTCAAGGCAAGGAGACCCGTCAGACAATGTAGGTTGGACGGCACCTCTGGATGTCACCTGGTTCAATCCCCTACTCAGAGCGGGGCTGACTCCTAAGTCGGACCCAACTTCAGATTTAGATCAGCTTGCTCAGGGGATATCCAGCTGAGTTTGACCATCTCCAAGCAGGGAGTTTCCACAGCCTCTCCGGCTCCTTGTTCCAATGCTTCACCACGCTCACTGTGACCCCCTCCCCCCCCCACAGTATATAGTCAAATTTTGCCTTGTTGCAACTTGTCACCAAGGCTAGACACACTTGGGCGGGGGGGGAAGAAGTGGTGAAATAAGCAGTGGTGGGACAGAACCCTACATTCTCCTGCAGAAAGTTTAACACACAGCATTTCTCCACCGGAGAGTTTTGTTTATCCTTTTTGCTATTACAGATCAGCTTCTTTCCTTTCTGCCTCCCACCCCATGATCATAAAGAACGCCACAAATAATTTTACATTGCTATGGCCCGCACACCCTCGTGACTGCAAAAAAGATCCAGCGATAGGGGTGACAAGGCTGCATTTCTAAAACAGGGGTGCTCTCCCGGGTAGTACTTACCTCAATGTTAAATGCATTTACGCCCAAAGCCAACATAAAGCTGTTCCACATTGGAGGCAAAACTGAATTTGGTGGCAGCTACAGAGCGGGTTTCATTCGGTGGGGAAGAAAGAAGGGGCCAGTACAATTTGGAGTGGGAGCGGGGGGAGTGAGGGTACCCTTTTAGAAAGTCAAGGTGTGAGGGGGATCTGGAAAGGAACTGCTAAGCCCCTTCCCAGCCTCCTCCTCTGTGAGCTACTGCTCTAAAAAAACTCTTTTGCATCTACTCTGCTCAACTCACTGCCCCACTCTCTTTCCAATGCTATTTCTCAAGTGACAAATATTAGCCAGCGTCATACAAATATTAAGCAATGAGGATGCTGTAATGCAGAAGTAGAAAGTGGCAAATAC